AAAGATTGGGTTGAGTTGAATATTTGTATTTTTAATTATAATTATCTATTTTTTTAATATTTTCATATTTCTATTTATAAAATTACTAGATATAGAAAAAAATCTCGTCACAATAGATAACTATTGTAATATCCCAAATTTTTTGGAATATTTAAGTGTAAGTTAAGGATTTGATTGTGAGAAAAGATTGTTTTGGGACCTAATGTGAATATTTCAAAAGTTGAGGGACTTAAAGAGGGAAAAAATTTGGATAAGGATGACTTCTTTTCTTTTTCTTTTTCTTTCTTTTCTTCCCCAGCCATTTCCCGATTCTGCTCTTCTTCCCGCTGCAGCCCGAAATTTCCCCCAAGCAAGCCGCCGGCACCAGCCTTGAGAAACCGGCTGGAAAAGCTTGGTTTTGCCTTCCTTTTCTTGTTCTAGAACTGAAAAGGGAACCCAGAAACCTTCTCCCCTGCTGGAAAATCCGGATCTGCCCTGCTTTGCTCTGTCCTTCCGCCGGCTGCTCCTGCTTTGTGGGGGTGATTTGCTCCGGTTTTGGGTAAGAAACAGCTACCAATCCCTCTGTTCTTGCTTGAATTAACTTCGGTCTACCTTAATTGCTCTTGGTTCTCCATTTTTGAGTAACCGTGAGTCCCCTGCAGAATTTTCCTTCCATTCCCGCCGGCCTTCTTCCCCAACTTGTAGCTCCGGCCTTGCTTGCTGGATTCTGGTATGTGGCAGCCTTAAACCATTGTTTTTAAGCTTGATTAAGGTAGAATTAGCTTGATTAATTTGCTGCCCTGTGATGTCCGAATTTGGCTAAAAATGGGGATAATTCCGGTAGCCTTTGAGCATGTTTTAAGCTTGGTTTAAGTGTAAATTAGCTTGATTTAGATTGTTGTGTGATTTTGGAGAAAATCCCGTGAGATTAGCTAGTGTTTTGGCCAATTTGTGGGAGTGGAGTTACTGTTCACGTCGGGGTCACTGTTCACCGGCACTGTTCACCAGTTACTGTTCACACCCCGAGGGCCAACAATTAACGGGGATTTAAATGATTAGTTTGTGATATGAGAATGAATTTGGAGATGTCCGATCATGTGGAAAGTGATAGAAATAGCATTGTGATTAGGAATGATCCTAACGATGAGTTTACCTTGAATTTGTGATAGTCCGGTATTAATTCTGAGATGTTTTGATTAGGTTCCTGATCGTTCTATCAGTTAGTGCGTGAATTGAGTGCTCGGTTTTATGCGAGTGAGGTAAGTAAATTATGGTAATGCCCTTTGATTTTAAAAGTATGTTTTGATTTGTTTTTGAAGTGGTGGCGGGACTAAACCCGTTTTACACGAGCATGACTGATTTGAAGTAAAATGTTTATGTTTTTCACTAAATTGAGCATGCCTACTTGAAATTTAAGTGATTGTCCTGATGATTTGAAAGTGATTGTGAATTGTGATTTTCCTGTTAACTTCTGCTTGTTTTGTCTCCGATGTGGTCATGTTATTCGTGTGCCCGCTAGTGGGAGGTTTATAAACGCTAGCACATGTCGACATGTTCGTGATAGAACCGGTTCGCTCGTGGCCCTACTAGTGGAGATTATACACTAGTAATCGTGTGCCTGCCAGTGGGAGGTTTATAAACGCTGGCCATGACCTATAGAGGAGACGTCTATTTCATGCCCGTACTCGTATCTGTTTTTCGTGATTACACTTGTTGGCATGCTATAAGTTTAATTAAGGGCACTCTATATTTACTTACTGAGTTTATCTCATAGTTTTCCTTGTCCACCATTTCAGGATGTGAAACCGAGGACGGGGAAACCACGGGAAGTGACGAGTTAGAAAGCTAGCCATTTCGAGATTGATATAAACTTTAGAAATAGATCATGATCTTGTATTTGGAGATTTTATGATATCAGAGAGAATTTTATAATTTGATCTTCAGATTTTGGTGGTATCAGAGTGTGATATGATAAGTTCCGAGCCTTGTGCATTTGTGGGACCCGTCTCACGAGTGCACGGCGTCTGTCGCG